CAGAAAACCCATATATTGTTCTCCTGAGCATGGACACCGAGGACAACGTCAGCACTATTCAGTTCCTGAAGCTATGTTTTCTTAAGGAACCCAATCCAGACAAACCAGGACTCCATGGATGGCCAGATCCAGATATGATCTCTGTAGCTTGGCTGACCTCCAACTGCATGATTACACCTTCAAATTGCGCACAAGTTGCCACTTTGTCTGGGCTGAACAGGCTCTCAATACTGTTAACTCTTTTCTCCTAAACACAGCCTAAAACCACTAGCTCTTCCACAAGAATAAGTTTGCCATCAACTGTTTCCTGACGGAGCATCTTGACCACCACAGGTCCAGAGAAGCAGCCCCTCTCAAAAGAACAGGTTACAGTAAGAAAGATTTTTCTACAACTCCTATCTACCCATTTGCATCTTCATCTGATTCCATCATACCATTTTGGCCCCAGCTGTCCCATCTGCTGGCCTACTGTGCTCTTAACTTTCTCCTTTTGTCTCTAAATGCTCTATTGCCCTGGATTGCTTCTCCACTCTCCTTAGCCTTACCTCATTTATCACCATGCACCTTCACTCTAGTGTTTCCTCATCTTACTTGCTCCTTCCTTGTCCTTGCCATGCCCATGCCTTCATCCCATCATACTCTCCTCCACGTCCACTTTTGCTCTTCTTGCCCTCATGCACATATACTGTGTTTTTAAAAATTCTCCCTTCTGATGTCTTTTTCCAGTCCATGCCAGTGTGGGCTTCACACGGGATTTTAAACTGAACTGAATGTAGAGACTAAAATCATGACAATGCTTGGCATAGTTTTAAGCTCAAAACTGAGCTCAAATTTATTCCTAATGTTTGTGGATCTGAGCCTTTCACTTGAAGTCCCAGAAACTGCATTCAGTGACACTGCTCATTTGTGTTGCAGGACAATGCTTCTCAGTAAATTTTTAGTCTATCATACTTGTAGCTACAATTTCATGATAAAGTTAGGGGGGAAGAGTTGATATTATAAGAGCATTGAGAAAAATTGACATCCAAAATGTCTACTTCTATAATGAACTAATCAACATTTCCTCAGGAGCAAGAGGTATTAGGCACAAGAAACTTTTAAGGCTGTTATGTTTATGTTGCATTATACTTTTGTGTTCTGAAAGCTATTTTTTTGCAAACTACAAACCAATTAAAATAAAGTGGCAGTAAGGTGGGAAAAGGAGGCAAAGGAATGTTCTTGGTTTGACAGTACTATTATCAAACATATTAAGGGAAGCCTAATGAATATAAGGAAATAACTAAGACTGAACTCTCCTTTCTGTGCATCTCTAGAAGTATTTCAGATCATGAAAAACCTGTGTGCTGCAATATATGGGCTCAAAGGGAATGCCAGAGTCTGATTTTTTTTTTTAATGATAGTTTTGAAAAGTAACGAGTAAAAAAGGTGAACCTATACATTTTGCTCGAAACAGCCAATCCTGATAGAAGAGAACAGCCACCCCATGTAAATATGCTGTACGGCAACTTTCTGAGGAAGACTGTTCGCTTAGTTATGAACCCCACAGAACCGAAATGTACAAGAGACCCTTTGATAGCACTGGTGGTACTAAAGCTCCAAAACCAGCACTCTCATTAGTTCCCCACTCTCTTTTTTAAATATAAAAAGAAGTCTCACCTTGCTTTGAGTTGACGTCTGAAGGCATGTGCGAAGGGTGTGACCCTGGGGAAAAGTGCTCGTCGCTGTAGGTGATAAGTGGGGTGAGAGGGTGAACCGCATGGGAAGGCTGCACCACTGGCACCTTGTTTGACTGCAAGAGAAAAAGGCAAGCACTAGTAATGATGCCCATGCATCATGTTCATCATTATACAAAAAAGCCACTCAAGAGTACATACAAATAAGGGAACAAGTTATAAAGAAACAATGTGTCAGCCCTTTGTCCCCAAACACACAAGACAAGGACTCTCACCTGCTTTAACACAGAGGGTTTCAGTGGGGGAGGGATAAGGAGTGGCAAGCGGTAAGACTTGCAGTGGCAGCCTCAAGACTGCCGAGGTAGATATAGAGCAGGTGCTGAACTAACAGCCAGGAAGTGGGTATGGTTAGGAAAAGAAACAGTCATGAGAGAACAGAGCTGCATCAGTTGTTCTTGAGAGGTACAAGAGGCCATATGTCAGCTGGAGTAGCTTTAAAGAGGAGCAAGCTAGCAGGAGACAAAGAAAGAGGCTAAGCAGTCCATGTGGGACCAAAATAGGCAACTGCCAACAAGTGTGCCACCATCAGATGGCAGCTGGGCTGACAAGTGCACAAACCTTTAAATGGAGGACAGCAAAAGCAAAGCTTTAGAGTTCAGCAATTACTGTCTGCATTTCTTTGGCTCTTACCAAAGACAGCTGAATTGGTTTCACTTTTGTTTGCAGCAATTTTCTAGTATTCATGCATTTGTACAACGTTACGACATTAATACATACCCCCTCGCCCAAGCAATTCGAGAACTTAAGGGTGCCTATAGACATGCTTGCTAGCTTTTTAATTAGAATGTGTGCACCCCCACAGCCATTTAGGGTTGCTTTAACTAAAGCTTGTTGAATGAGCTTTAGTTAAAGCACCCCCTCGGCCATTTTGAAACATCGGGGTGCTTAATACAAGTGATGGTGAGCTGTTTTAATTAGAGCGGCTATCTGGGAACCACTCTAATTAAAATGCCTTTGATTTGATTTCTGCTCCACCATGCAGCGGCTGTGGCCTTTACTATTCAGGTAGCTGAGGGAATCAGTTGACTTAATTAATGGCTCATTGTTGTTTATTGATGGTCTCTTTTTAAAATGGTCTTGATGTTCAACTAATCAAGCTAACATTTCTTAGGGCAATTTTGCGGTCTCCTATTTGCTCCTGGTCTCCTATTTCACAGCTCTGGAGACTATTTAGCTTTTTTCAGAATCACAGATCCAGACATGAAGCAGCAGCTAGGGTATGCCTTTAGTTAAACAGGAAAGGGAGGGAAAGTGAGCAGAGCATCAGGCTCTGTCCCTGCCCTATGCAGCCATAACTTTTTTCCAAAGTCTTTTTTTCTTCATTTTGCTTTTTAAAAACCAAGGTGTACATTATATTTGAGGGTGCTCTGTCTGTAAAAAAGTATGGTAAGTAGTTGTCCATGCCCATTTAACAAATTAGATCTATTATGATTAAAACATACTATCTTAGGAGTCATGTAACGCCAGACCATGTTACTCAGAATCCTAGTTCACGTCGTGCTAACAACAGAAAGTTGCTAAACGTGTTTGGAAGAATTAGTGCTATATTAGCATTCTCTCAACTGGGTAGCATAAGACAATACTTATATAAAGGAAAACCACATTTGTATATGATGTTTTCTACAAATTAAGTACAACTTTAAAAGGAAAGCGTTCAGCCGGTACATTCAGGAGTGCCCTGAGGCTAAAGGAATAGCAGTTATCAAAGTAATTCTCCTCACAGCCCAACATTAACTCCAAATCCAAAAAGCTAGAAGACAACTGCTTTGCACAGACAGTCAGGGCCATTTACATATTAACACTTCTCTACATTTTATCATAATTTTTCTTTTCCCATAGCAGGACTAGCTGCAGTCATAATCCCAGCATGTAATAGGCACAGTATTACTCCTCATTTCTACCCCACCATTCTGTGGGCTGCCCCTCAGCAAAAATAATTATGCCACAAACAGAGGCTTCTAATAAAAATGGAAAGGGCATTCAGACAAAAATGCTGATAAAGCTCAGCAAGGACAGACTGTCAACTATTAGGAATTAGAGAAGAAAAAAAAATTAAGAACCCACTGAAATTAATTTTGTTTGAATCTCAATACTCAAATCCTGTCACAATAACAGATTTTAGGACAATATTTAAAGTATAAATCAAGGGTTTCTTTTGACATCTAAAACTAGAAGGGTTATTAAATAGACAACTCAATTTATTAAGTCTGATAGCAGTACATGGGTGAAATAGGGGCGGGAAAGAGGAGCAAATGGGAACCAGTGCAGCATTTTTGCTTTCCTTGTTTTCAGAGCACCACCTTAAGGAACTTGCATTAGCAGGCAGTATCTTCTTAAATGTCTGACCTATCCCTCCAGTCATATAGCTCAGAATCTGGTGCCATGAATTTTTGCTAAATTATGCTATCCTTGCTCGCCTCTTAATTTTACGGTTTTCAACACAGATTTGCTTTCCTGTGGGAAAGAGATAAGAACCTGAGGATTTTAATTTAAGCTTTGGCCTTGTCTTATATTTTGCAAGATGGAGAGAGAAAGCAGCACTAGTAGGTGTTTTAAAGCCAACAAGCATTAGGTCCATTTTGTGACCAAATAATAAAAGAAATATGAATTTTCAATAATATGTATAAGGTGAGTTATTAAGGGTGATAGCTCAGGCTCCGTTCAATTTTCCTGTTCGTATAAATTCAATAAAATAGATGCTAACAAATTTCAAATTTAAAAATCATGCCTTATTCTTTAGCTATGAGATGTTGGTTGACACTCCATTCAGCAGTTGCTTTAATCTATAATAAATCAGTGTATTAGATGAACACATCTACAGGCTGACTTATTTGGGGGAAGCGGGAAAACATATCAGCTAAACAGCATTAATTCCTCAAAATTTAGTAATTAACACTCTGTACTATATTCAAGATATAATTAGCCTGCAGATTCTTTAATATCAGTTACCCATGAATTCGGGTTTTTTTTTTTAATTACCCATTCTTACTTCTAGTTAGTCATTCTCCCTGCCCTCTAGCTCCTCAATATCCTAGTAATTTTTCTCTTGATGTTTTAGTTCATGCACTCTCCACCCTATAGACTTAAGGTGATCCAATATACCTGTCCCATGCTGCTCTTACCCTCCTCGTGAGAGTTTTTTTCCTAATATCCAACCTAAACTTCCTCTGCTGCAACTTGAAACCATTGCTCCTTGTTCTGTCATCTGTCACAAACGAGAACCAGTCCAACTCCATCCTCTTTCAAACCACACTACAGGTAGTTGAAGGCTGCTATCAAATCCCCGCCTCTGTCTTCTCTTCTCCCTACTAAATAAGCCCAGTTCCCTTAGCCTCTCTGCAGAAGTCATGTCCCCCAGCCCCCAAACCATTTTTGTTACCCTCTGCTGGACTCTCTCCAACTTGTCCACATCCTTTCTGTACTGGGAGGCCCAAAACTGGACACACTACTCCAGATGTGGTCTCACCAGTGCTGAATAGAGGGGAAGAATCACTTCCTTCCATCTGCTGGCAATGCTTCTACCAGTGCAGCCCAAGGATGCTGTTAGCCTTCTTTGCAACAAGGGCACATTGTTGGCTCCTATTCAGCTTATTGTTCACTGTAACCCCAGGTCCTTTTCTGCAGACCCGGCCCCTTTTCTGCAGAGCTGCTCCAGCCAGTCATTCCTCAGCCTGTAGCGGTACATGGGATTCTTCCATCCTAAACGCAGGACTTTGCACTTGTCCTTACTAAACCTTCTTTTGGTCCAATCCTCCAGTTTGTCTAGGTCTCTAACCATGCTGTGAAGGGCTGGGGGGATAGCCTCTCCTGCCCAGGAGAGGAGTGGGCTCTCTGCAGGAGAAAGCACTATCTGCAGCGTGTTCTACTTTTTATAAAAAGCTGTGTATAATGCACCAAATGCCCTGATGGAAGATATGTAGGAGAGACCAGACAACAACTGCGCACCAGAATGAATGCACACCGGAAATCCATCAAAGACAGAAACACCCAATTACCGGTGGGGGCACATTTCTCACAGGAAGGCCACTCTCTCTCCAATCTCTCAGTCCTGATCCTCAAGGGAAATTTACACAACACATCCCAGAGACGAGCCTATGAGCTCCATTTCATCAACCTGCTGGATAGTAGAGATCAGGGACTAAACATAGACATTGGATTTTTGATACATTATAATCTGCCTGGCAACTGACTCCCCAGCCCAGCCCAGCCCAGCCCCTGGCTTGTTTACTTTTCATTCCATCCAGGAAGAGCACACACCAACTGCTGCAGCTTCCTTAGCCTGACGAAGGGTTTTTGAACCCGAAAGCATGCTTAATAACTATTCTCCAACCATTTGGGTTGGTCTAATAAAAGATACCAAATTCACCCAAGGAACCTTGTCTGTGTATAAACTAGAGTATTAAAGACCAGTTCTGTACTTGCCCATTCACCTCCCTTAGGTGAATTTCATGGGTTCTACCATAGATGGGTACTTGTGGACTGAATATTTTCCAGAAGCGTGGCTGCCCAAGTTACATATAAGAATCTTAACCCATGATCCTAAAGAAGACAGTCATCATACTCTGCTTACGTTGCGGTGTGGGGTGAGAAGTGGGGAGGAGGGAAAACATGGTACCTCTTCATTCGGAGGGACCGAATAAATTCTAGTACTAAAAAGCTGTCACATCTTTGGTTCTTGGTTTCAAAGACAGGAATTTAAATCCAACACAGCTAACATCATCCCTCCCAAGAAAGGGCTGGAATATCAGGAGGTAAAACTATTTTTTTCCAGTTCATCTCATGTTTATTATGAGCATTTTCCATTCTGAAGAACGTACATATAGCGTATGCCTCTTCCCCAGCAGGCTTTCAGTGGAAGCAGATTTTTTCTGAGGGCCATCTCTCCTTGTCAAATGCCTGAGGGAAGGCAAGGGCTACAGACAACTGTCCTCCTCTGGTTGAGTCAAGCAGATTCACAGAGTTGTTGCTTCTGCTGTGCCCTCAGAGAGGAGGAGAACGTACTTGAAAGTTAAACCTTGCTATCAACCTCTGGTACTTGACCAATACAAGCTGAATA